CTCGCCTCCCCCGTCCTCCCACCGCCCCCCCAAGTGTTGAACGATTCTTCACACTCCACAATTTTCAACTTTGTGAAGTCGTGTGTGCATTTGCAGTTACCAACTTTTTATTTGTAAGTTTGAAGGCAACAAGTCTGAAAGGACTCCAGCCAATCAGAGAGGCAGTTGGTGGTAAAGGCAGTGATATAAATACCACAGTATTCAGTGTTCAGTTTGAGAGCACGGGTGAGGTGAGGTGAGGTGAGGAGCTTTTTTTTTTTTTTGCTTTTCACAAACTTACATCCACACCTGAGGTCAGTTCAGAGTGAACAGGGAATCTGATTCTGCATCAAGGAAGCGGTGGTAACTGGAGAAAACCCACACTGTACAGGACGACTGTTAGTTTTAGCCCGGTCTCAAAACCGCCGACCTTCTTCCTTCCTTCCTTCACAAACCACCCAACCACAGCCTGACCTGGCAGAGAGCATGATAACATTTTTGGAAAACCTCATCCAAACCTTCTATGAGATTTTTGTCAAAGATCGGAGGCAGACCCTTCAGTCTGGAGGTTCGAGGACGCAGCTCTTCAAGCCGGGCTTTGAGCTGAAAACACAAGAGCTCTTAAACTGGAGGAGAAGAAGAAGAACAAGGAGGACCAAATTAATCCACGGTCTCAATTTCCTGGGTCTGGTCCGTTTCCTCACGATCATCGTTCTTGTTGTTCTTGTGTTAACAGCAGAGCTGCTGCTACAGGCTGCCCCCTGCAGGCAGCAAGTATGTGGTTCTTGTGGGTATCAGACCCAGGACTATTTGCTCTCTGCTTCCGAGGCAGGCGTGCTAACCGCTACGCGATGAAACCACACAATGAAAAAGAGACGAATAATTATTCATCGTACATCGTACAAGGGTGGCTGCATCGTACGAGTACGATAATTATTGTACGCCTTCTCTTGTAGAAAGGGGTAGAGTTAACGGCGGGGGCTAATTCTCTAGCTTCTAATACAATGTTAGCCTCGGAGAGCAGAGAGTTCTGGGTTCAATTCCTAAATCTGCTATTGGCACTAGAATTTCTTAAATATGGAATCAATAAAGTTAAATCTGCTAATTTCTTAAATATGGAATCAATAAAGTTCAAATTATTAGTTATAATTATTCATTCAGGAACCAATGACATCGTCTGTTACATTACTATAAAAGAGAACCAGCGTGTGACCGGTGTGATTACAGAAGACATGACTCACACGGAGTCAAGCCACCGCGTCGTCAAAATGAACCGCCGTCTCCATGAAATGCACGGCAACACTAACTCTCTGTTGTGACTCTTTTAGCCTCACTAGCTTCACTGGGGTATTTCACAGGTTTGGTGGTGGAGTGTGATCCTGCATAAACAGCCTCTTCTTCCAAATTCGTCTCAGTTTGTCTTAGCAGCGTGTCGACTCAGTGGGTAGCATAAAACCATTACTTTAGTCAAGTATGTGGGAGAAACAGAGCCTGGGAGCTTCTGTGGATCTGCTGCTGCTCCAAAGAGAAATGATGAAAGCTGCTGTCTGGTGGAAATATGTCCGCCGGCCTGCAACGGGGAGGGAGTGTGTGTGTGGGGAGAGGGCGGGGGGGAGACGGGGAGGCAGATGCTGTGAGGAGAGGATGTTTTTCCCAGTTGAAACATTTGTTGAGTCAGAGATGTGTTGTAGTCGTCGTAACTCTGTGTTTGTGTAAAAGTCCCTCAGAAGAGGGATTTACGTTCACACAGTGGAGGCATTAACTGAAAAACACTCCTCGTTCGCTCTGAATGAGTCATAATTTTCTGCTGTGTTCAGCAGATGTTCACATCTCTCCACAGTGGTAGCAACAAACGAGAGCATCGGCGGGGACTGGCAGCAGCCAATCGGCTCCTTGACCAGGGCTGGTGTAACGTGTCATTAGACCTGTGAAACAATAAGACAATAAACATTGACAGTTTAGGTCAAAGATTTTATCTTCAATGAATTTTTAGCCAAACTTGAATGGAAACTAGGGATGTCCGATATTAACTTTTTGTCAATATCCAATATGCCGATATTGTACAAACACTTGATGTACGATTCCAATATTATACAAAACCGGTATAGTGGCGCAGTGGTGGCCTGGTGGTTAAGGAAGGTAAGTGCCGCCTGTGCATTAAGGTGATGGGTTAAAGCACTGTTTCTGAATTATTTTCTGCCATGCCCCCCCTACAGGACAGAAGTTCACTCCCTTGAGCCCCCAAATTCAAATACTATGCCTGGTAATATTTATTTATTTATCTGTACAAACCACTGTATGAATTACTGACACCGCAATTTAATAAAATGAGCTGCAATGCTGCCATCTAGTGACTTTGACTTTCACATACAGCCGTTTTCCCCCAAATAACGATTCTTACACATATTACATAATTATGCTAATATACGGTCGATAATATCGGTCGGCCGATATTAACCTGTCTGTCTTTTTCCACCCCCTGCAGGTGAGTCTGATGCACAACGGATGGCCAGTGATTTCAGCGTTCGCTGGGGACCAGGATGTGACACGTGAGGCAGCCAGCAATGGCGTTCTGATCCAGATGGAGAAAGGAGACCGGGTCTACCTCAAACTGGAGAGAGGAAACCTCATGGGAGGATGGAAGTACTCCACCTTCTCCGGCTTCCTGGTGTTCCCCATGTAGTCAGGACACAGAGAGGAGGAGGAGGAGAAGGAGGAGCAGGGGCTGGAAATGAAGGAGAACTGGTGAAAGTTTGGAATGTACCAATGCGGGGGAAAAAAACAGAGAAAAAAAGAATAAAAAACAGGGGACGTGATGAGAGACTTCTGTTTGTAGTCGTTTAGCCGATGGAGGAACGTGGACCGTCGAGAAGATTCAGGAGAAAGACACAAGATGATGGAACCTTGAGAAGAAATGCAGAAGCTGTACATAAGAGTGAAGGGCTGGCGTCTTTTCTTCCCTTCCTCCTTCTGTCCACTCTGTCATTCATCCCTCCCTCTGTTGTCTCTGTGGCTGGACTGCACCTGTGGGCAGCCAAGACTTTTTTATCCTCTGCTGAAGAAGTTGCGACTGAAACTCTCTCCTTCTGAACATTATCATCATTCTTCATCAACCATCAGTCTCCATTAACAAAATGTCACCCAGTCCACCCTCCAGGAGGAGTTCTTTATTCATGCCCTAGCATCACATCGCACTGATCAGCTCTTATCCCTAAGCCTAGCTGTAACTCATGTCTGTAGACAGAATCAGGAGCTGAAGACAGTTTGACCTTTTCTTTTAGAGAAAAGTGTCTTTTTGTGATCACTGATCCGTTTCACTAAACCTACCACCGCTGTGAGAAAACTGACGAGTGCGTAGAAGAAACCAGCGGTGTCTGCTTGGGTCTTCTGCGTACTCGTCAGTCTTCTTACAAATTCCCTACCTCTCATTGGTTTAACCACTGCAGTAGACTCTGACTTGTAGTACAAAAAACGTGTACAGGAAACCAAAATTTGCGGCTATCGGGTTAGAAAGGTTTGATCTGTGGAACTAGTTCTCCTGCTACTGTGTGGTAACTGGAAGATTCCACATAAATAACAAATCAAATCTGCTCTGGTTCATGTGAGAGCTGCAGCAATCTAAAATTATTTGATGCATTGAATGCAGTGATAACGAATGAACTTAAACAGTTTCCTATAAAAAAAACCCCGAATGTTTTTAAGGTTTGAAATTGACAGTGTTTAAAAAAAAAAAAAAGACATGACAAAACTGTAGAAAGATTAATGACTAGAACTTGAGAGTGACACTTAAGTATTAGCTGTAATAATGAGAAACTTCATCTGTTCTCCAGTCAATATTCTACTGAGTCTCTGCAGGGACTCACTCTAATGAAACTAATATCTGTATTGATACAAGTCACAGAGAAAGTATTGCTTTATCCTCACCTGCAGTGCTGCAGAACAAACATTCATATTGACCTCCATCGTGTCCATCTGTAACACACTTACACCTCCTCCACACACTCCCCCTCCAGCCCGTCATCTCCTCTTCTTCCTTCCTACTCTGCTGCTGTTTCTCAGATCTGTCTCCCTCCCTCCCTCCTTCCTTCCCTCACCTCCCGTTTGTCCACAAGTGCAGATCTTTTTGTCTCTCTTTTTTTCTACTCTTCTGTTTTTCTCTTTTTTTTAGACTACGTTCAAACTGCAGCCAACGTGGCCCGCATCCAACTTTTTTGACCATATGTGACCCATATCTGATTTTGAATTATTATTTTTTTTCTTTTCAAATTAAACCCAGGCCGCTTTAACATCCGATCCTGAATTGACTAGATCATAGGTGTCAAACATACGGCCCGTGGGCCAAACCTGACCCACTATGAGGTTCAATCCGGCCTGCTTGATAAATTTTGAAAGTAGAAAAAGCACAAGCACCTCATCTTAGTGATGTTTTGTAAAATGACATTTCAATAATTATGAATATTTTCAAATATACTTCTCTGCAGGAAAACAAAGGGTTAAAACATGGACTTGTTGTTATTGTAATTGTAGGTAATTATGCTATAATCGCACTGGTCCGGCCCACTTGACATCTAATGAGTTTGACACCCCTGGACTAGATACCTGATGGTTTTCAAATCGACATCAGTCTGACCTCTGACCTTTTACATTATTGACGTGAGACCAACATCGGATGTAAACAATGGAGGACACAAACATGGCCGACACATCGTTGAAATGCCACATGCTCCCAGGGTGTGTGTGTGTGTGTGTGTGTCAACAGGGGTAACGACTCTGATCAGATCTGTCCTCCACTCTTTGCGGCGTGCGTTGGTTCCAGTCTCAGTGTACGGCGTCATCGTGTCAGGGTGCTCTGTGTGACGTCACCTCCTGACGTCATGTTTAAATAATAGTTTGAACAAAAATGCAAGAAATAAAAAAAAAAGTCTGACTCGAGCGTTAC